GAGGGAGTCAAGCTATTTTCCAAAGCGCCTGAAGGCAGGACAAGGAGCAACGGGTGGAAGCTAACCAAAGAGAGAAGCAACCTAGAACTAAGGAGAAACTTCCTGACAGTTAGAACAATTAACCAGTGGAACAACCTGCCTCCAGAAGCGGTGAATGCTCCAACACTGGAAGTTTTTAAGAAGAAACTGGACAGCCATTGGTCCAAAATGGTATAGGGTTTCCTGCCTGAGCAGGGGGTTGGACTAGATGACCTCCAAGGTCCCTTCCAACTTTGTCATTATTATTATTATTGTGTAATCCATCTATCTGACAGAGAAGCTTTTTTCTTTGAGTTCTCATTCAGAACAGATTTAATCTACAGTTAGGAACTTCAAATGAAATAAGGGTACTTTAATTCAGTTTTTCTTAACCTAATTCTCTCCATTTAGATTTTTTAAAATCTCCACAGCAATTTTTTTAGAAATAAGAGGGACTTGGGAATGTAGAATTGCCATGATGTTCAGAAGACTCATCTAATCCTAGTCCATCCGAGCATCTGTAATCCAGATGCCAGTAGGAATTCTATACAGACATGATACCATAATATCTTCTCCTCCTGTTTCCTACTATGTGGTATTGAGGACTGCTACTTCAGTTACATAATCATTTGCAAATAATTTTTGTGGCTGAGTGGTTAAGATGTCAACAGAAAGGTTGGCAGTTGGAGATCTAAGTACCACATAATAGAGTTAGCTCCAATTACTTGCTCCAGTTCCTGCCAACTTAGCAGTTCAAAAGCATGTAAATGCAAGTAGATAAATAGGTACCACTTTGGTGGGAAGAGAACAGCATTCCGGGCGTCTTCCAGTTATAGGTGTACTGGCCATATGAGCACAGAAGATGGCTCTTCGGTTGTGAATCGGAGATAAACACCATTCCGTAAAGATGGACATGACTAACAGGGGAAACTTTTACCCTTTTTTTTTACTTTAGTTACAGGATCATTTGCTAATAATTTATTAACATTTTTCATAAGGCTGTTCCACATGTTTGTAACGTTTGCATTTCTGGATCAAAACCTGACTTATCTAAAGCAGCCAAATCACTTTGAAGATACAACATAATTTTATCTGCATGCACATAAGCAACATATACTGGATCTCCAGCAAAGTTTTAATACTTTGCTGAGTGGCCTGAGCAAAAGCTTAAACCAGGGTGTATATACTTTTCATCCACTACAGGTAGTCTTCTACTTATGATCACAATTGGGACCAGAATTACTAAGCAAGGCTGTTATTAAATGAGTCATACCTGATTTTAAAAAATTTCCCATGGTTGTTAAGCAAATCACTGAAACAGTTAAGTGAATCATGCAGTCATTAAGGGAATCCACTTTCCCTCATTGACTTTCCTTGTCAGACACTGCCTGGAAGGTTGCAAATGGTGATCAGGTGACCCCAGGATGCTACAACCATCATAAATATATGCCAGTTGCCAAGGGTCCACATTTGGATCACATGATTGTGGGATACTGCAACAGTGCAAGGACCAGTAATCAGTCACTTGTTTTCAGTGTTGTTATAACTTTGAATGGTTGCTGAACAAATGCTTGTAAGTTGAGAACTAACTATACATTGCAACAGCAAATAAAGAAAAAGAGGGACACATTGGAAATATTTTCGATAAACCCATCGTGTGATCCTAGTATTTATCCCTTCCTACTAGGTCAGCAGCTAACCATGCTATCTCTGAGATATGGTTAGTGGATAGAAACCATTTGGTTTACTTGGCCTCAGGTTCTTGATCAAATCTTCCTGTTTGCAAATCAGGGCCACTTCAGCTTGAATGTTTTCTTACAAGAGCCCTAATTAGTTCATATGGGAGCCTATGTATCCCATAGGTTTGATAGTGAAGGTAGTTTATGTATATAGGGTGATGGTAGTATTTTCTGCCATACAAAAAAAGAATACAGTATATATTCATGCAAGTACAAGTGAAGGTCTTATATACTCAAGTCAATACTTGAAGAGGACTACCGTACTGCATGAATATACTGACTGTCATGAATTTGATGTTGTTAAGCTTCTACTCATTTTTAAAAAAAACTATGCATAATTTAATATATCTGTTTCCAAGCCTAAGCTAAATAATGACCAGGTTCTTCACAGCAAATCCATCTTACTTTTCGGATTATCTGATCTTTCTTTCCTAACAGGTTTTTAGTTTTATAATATGTATCCTTATATATAATGTGTATTCTTTTTTGAATGGCGATCAAAACTGACTCCAAATGTTGTTGAAATCTTGCTACATCTAGGACAGGGGTCCCCAACCCCTGGGCTGCGGCCCACTCCTGGGCCTTGAGCCTTTTGGAACTGGACTGTGGAAGTGGTAGGCGAGAGCTTGTGCGCATCCCCATTTGCACAAGCATTGTGTGAGCGTGTGCACATGCACTCCATTTGCAGGAGCTGCGGGTGCGTAGGTCAGTCGCTTGTACAAATGGAACATGGATGCGCTTGCCCGCCACTCACATGAAAGCATCCTTTCTCTTCCCTCCGCCAGTCCACAAAGCTGGAAAGATAGGGGAACTCTGATCTAAGGTACCACTAAATTGAAAAATATTGGTATAGTGCAGGGGTGTCAAACTGCTGGCCACGGGCTAGACGCATCATCGGAAGCCGCGCCCACCCCATTGCCAGCAATGGCAAAACCGTCCTGATACGTTGCGCGACGTCACATGATGTCGCGAGTTTGACATGTCTGGTATAGTGGCTGCTTTGTAATTATGATAACTGTCAGATCCATGTAGATTCTTATTTTTAAAAATGTATTTAATCTAAAAAATGCCTGTACGATCAAGTGAATCAGGTCTCTTTATTTTTCCTTTTCAGCTGGCAAAGAAAGTAAATAACATAGAGACAAGCTGGGCTTTGGGGGCTACCTTTCACCTTCTACAGTCTCTAGGACTCTCCTACTAGGAAAGCAGAAGATCTGCATTTCTTGCAAGAGCCATTCTGATGAGCACATAATAAAATACAGACCAAAGTAGAAGAAAAGTTTTACTTTTAAGAACTGCAGTTCAGCAGAAACCCTTCTACAGTGGTAAGACCTAGCTACCTGATGCCAAAGAACTTTGAAACAGTTTAGGCATCTTTTTTGTCAAGTCACGAATGCATATTTGGTACCAGCACACCCCAATGTTGAACTTGCTCCACGAGCTCTTTTATCTATGAAATTCTGAATGTTCACATCAAAGGAGCAGCTTAGTCTGATATTTTAAAAAAACAGCAAAACCGAAGTGTATTATTTACCTTTACCACAAGTTGTTTGAAACCAAGTAGTTATGCTCCTAGGGTTAGCCGGTTCTTAAATTTATTCAATTACATATATATTAGTTGGTGAGGAGTATTAGCAAAAAGATTTTAGAAATCCCACAAGGAATTATTTCAGGTGTATTTTTCTAAAGTTGAGAGAGCAAAGTCCTGTGAAACTGTTCTTATTTATGTTAGACAACAAAGTTTCCTTAGGTTAAATAGTTGTAACTTCCTCCACTATCAACTCTTATAGAATAACTTAATGGAAGCCCTGGATAGCCTCTTTTTAAAGAATTCTATGAAAATCAAAGCTTTTTTTTAACTACCACATTTCCCCCCCCCAAATATATATTGGTTTGGAGACAAGGGGCAGTTAGATTCCAGCAGTTAGACTCCGGCTAGTAGATTGGTACATTACTTGTTGCAAAGCACTTAACTGGATCAGAAGGTCTCTTCAAATGATCAAAACAAAATAATCTCCTGAACTATGTACTAAGTGAGCCATCTTAATATTCTGCACATATTTCTATATAGTATACGTTTTTTCCAAAAAGCTCTTCAAGATAAATGTTAAAATGTGGTGATAACATATACCTACATTTTTAGTCAAGTGCTCTTACTCAATATTAGTAGTGTCAATTCTGTGTATATTTACTCTGAAATGACTCTTATTTAAGTACTAATCGGAGGGTTGTCTCAGTGAATGAGGCATGATGCTAAGGTTTGTTTCCTCTGATGATCCCTTTACTACCTTGGTATTAGTGCCTATGCTTTTTCTAATGTATTGAGATTGTTTACAAATGTAATTATCTGCAAAGAAGATACAACTTGAAAAAGATACAACTATATAATTCATAGAGGAAGAGTTAATGAAATAAACACCTAACAGAGGACTAAATTAATTACTTTTTTTAAGCGAAGACAGATAGGTGTATAAATATTATTAGCATCGGGCAGTTGCTTAACTAGTAATTTATATAAAAGTAGATAAAATTAAGCTAAACTGTCAATGGATTAAGTTCCCTCCTAACACATGCCTATATATGTAGCACTGTATGTAACTGTGAAATAAATTTTAGATTTTTTTTCAGAAACACAGATTTTATTCTGAAATTATTTGTCAGAGGACAGTATGAATATCACTACTCATTTAGTCATATTCTTGTTACTTGGTGCTGTAATAAGAGTTACATGGATATTCTCAAACCTAGCTGTTTGATACACAAAATGCTAGGACACATTTGAATGTTTGTTTTAATAATTAAACTATTTCACCAATGTTCTTTGGCAGTCTGTAATTGATATTCACTCAGGTACTCTACTTCTTAAGGTTATAATCAGCAAGCAACATCTACCTCGTCTGTTGCTCCCTCCAAGACAATAAGAGGACAAGCTGATGAGTTGAGAAGCAGGTTGTACTTTGTTCAATACTTGAACCTTAAATTGTTCTTTACTATTATCATAAACTTTTTCCAGCAGTAGTCCTTTTCTAGGCCAATTTTTATAGCTTAAAAAAATCAAGTGCTATTGGATAGTTTTTTGGAATTCTAAGAGAAAGCCAAATAATCTATTCACTGGAAGAAAGAGCAACTTTAAGCTGAATAAGGAAGTCTAACAACCTTATACATCTCCTTAATGCATTTAAGTCTTTATAATATATATAAATAGATACCCAGCTATCATGAGTGAGCATGTACCTCTGGATTCACAAGGTTGTCACTTACTGGCAAATGCCATGATCTGCTCCTAAAAAATGAGGGAAAAACAGACATCTTACTCAGTATTCTATTACTTCTACCATTATTCATAACAATGAGGTGATTTCTTAAGGGGAAAGGAAAATCCATACCAAAATAATTGTTACTTTCCTTTGCCTTAGTAGTTTTTTACAACTAGGTTAGATAATACTCTCTTTTTTTCTAATTTCCTATTTTTCTAATTTCCTATTAAGTCTTCCCTGCCAATGATACCAATGAATGAAAATAAAATACAATACAATACAAGTAGCACAGTAGATCTGTTGAGGAACTATCCAGTATCCTGAGCTCTGATAAATCATATACATGGCAGAGTGCCATCAGAGATCCTTTCCACAGATATCTACAGAAGAGCCCTAGTGTAGTTTCCTTATCCGTGGTTAAAAAGAATAGTACTGTATGTTCTACATTGCACTTAATAGTCTCTTAAACCACTTTTTTGATGTGTAGTTAGATTTAAGTCAGATCAATTACACGAGTCCTTGCTAGAAATGTTTTCACCTTAATCAAGGCAACAGCAAATTGTTTTATTAGCAAAATTAATAATAAATTAACTAAATAATTGCAAAGTTTGTGGTCTATAAAATAAGAGAAAAGAACAATATGAATCATATATAGGTGATATGTGGTGTGTCTTACACATAAGATTATACAGTAGATAAATCAACCTTCCTCTCTCCATTTATGGAAACTTAATGGTATCTTATGAACTGAAAATAAATACACCTGGAAAGTACCAGGTTGGAGAAGGCTGATAGAAATACTAGTTAGTTAAATATAAGGATTGCAAGATCTGGGCTACAATGGCCAATTGATTGCAAGATGATAGCAGAGATATACAAGATTCTGTACAACCATACAGCTGAGATGTACTAGTTTATTCTAACAGCCCATCCTCAAATCAATACCACATGTGGAAAGGAGATAAATGTTCAGGAGTGCTACTGTCTAGCTACAAACATGCCCCTTTCCATTAGCCTTTTTCTTTAAATGAATTATCACATTTAGTTACCTACTTTAAAAAAAAAAGAGAGAGAGAGATCTTACTTTAACCGGAGGTACAGCATTGGTTATTTGCAATCCCCACGTCCTCAGCAGCACAAAAGGAGCCATATTTGTAGAGTAAATCTTGCTTAACAAATCAGTTGCCGCCACAAGAGAAAGATTGTGCCTCTGTCTATCTTTTTCATATTGTAATAGATGATTTAAAGAACCTACAAAGTTTATTCTGGAATTAATTAATTAGTAAATTGATTATCCCAAGAAAATCAGAGAAGACTGGCATCAGGCTACAAAATTACTCAATCTGATAAAATAAAAATGGTATGGAGGGGGTAATGGCACTCTTTGAAGATTAACATTTCCACCTCATGGCCTACATCAGAGTTCCCCAACCTTTCTGGCTTTGCGGGGGCGGGGATGGTTCTGTGCAAGCGGCAGGCTAGTGCGCAAGTGTGCAGCTTCATTTGCACAAGTGGTGGGCACACTTGCCACCTCCACAGCCCGATTCCGAACGGCTCAAGGCACCCTTAAAATTATATTAGAAGCATTTTGCTTTGCAAAATAAACCCACATTGACTCCAAGAGAGCTGGCCATTGGCACACCAGATGTTTATGACAATGCCCTAAATCAGTGGTTCTCAACCTTTTTAATGCCGCGACCCCAACCGGTCGTAAGTCGAAGACTAAACCGGTTGTAAGTCAAGGACTAAACCGGTCGTAAGTCGAGGACTACCCAACCGGTCATAAGTCAAGGACTTTCCCTGCCCAGGAGCACCGCACATGCGTGGTTCTGCCCCCTGCGCTGGCCGAGGCGTAGCTGGCAAGCGGCAGAGACGGAGCAGGCCGACCACCAGCTGGCCCAGCCCAAGGGAGGTAAGGCACCCGCCGGAAAAGGGGAAAAAATGGCGGACAAAAAAATGGCGGACAGCCTTGCTTGGCGACCCCCATGAAATGGTCGATCGACCCCAAATGGGGTCCCGACCCACAGGTTGAGAACCACTGCCCTAAATTGTTTCATTGTGTCATATACTTACCTAGGTCTTTTCCTTTGAATGCTGCAGCACTTAGATAATTTGTCAAGCATGAAATATCACCAAAACCCATATTTACACCTTGGCCAGCTAAAGGATGTACTCTGTGAGCTGCATCACTGAAACGAGAGGATAGTAATGACACAAA